AATCTTTAATCTTTTTTACGAGCTTTAATCGATGCCAAATCCAAGCAACAGCGTAGAGAAGTCGGTCTTTTTTTTATAAAAACACTCATAAGATTTTTTAATCTGAACTTTGACCAAATATACTTAAATTTGTGGTATCCAACATATTGTTATTGAACAAAAACACCTCTTAAGAATTCGAATAAGTAATTACACTTACTAAATGTTTTCATTCGGACCGCTTCATTAATAAGACTAACAAAATAATTTAAGACCAAGTTGCAATGCATCGCACGATTTCCGGGAATTACGATTTAGTAATGCTTTTAAATTAGAAATTTTCCAAAAAAAAAACTAATAGCAAGCTGACCTTTAAAAGTTAATTAAATAAGCCGATAATATTTTTGAATTCCCCGAAATTTCTGGGAAAGTTACATTCGATTAACAACATGAAAAGAAGCAAATTTCGGCAAAGACATCTTTAAGACATCTCAATTTTTTAGTTTTATGCGTATATTATTCGATTGTTTTCCAATTTTTATAAAACTAAACGCGCAATTCTGAATTACTAAACCATTACTAATTCCGAAGGAATTTGAAAAATAAATTTAAGACTAACACAATTTACAACTTAAAAAATATAATTAAAAATCAGCAAAATTTTAATTTTGTTTCATTTTTCCCGTTTGTTCTTATGGGAGCTATATTATGTAGTCATCAGATCCAGCTCGTTCCGACTTATATACCGCCTGCAATAGAACCTAACTTTTGGAAAAGTTTCATGCAGATAGCTTTAAAACTGAGAAACTAGTTTGCGTAGACAGACAGACAGACGGACACGGCTAAATCGACTCTCCTAGTGATGCTGGTCAAGAATATGTATACTTTATAAAGTCGGAAATGTCTCCTTCACTGCGTTGCAAACTTCTGACTGATATAATACACTCTGCAAGGGTATAACAATGAATACTAAGCTGAATCCTACTCCCTATCCAAAAGTGCGAATCGTCACTACTTGTACTGCCGTCCATATTGAGAACATATCAAACAAACTATCCGATTAAAAAATATGGGAAGATTTACTTGCACATTTTTTTTGAAATTGTAAAGCAAACGAATTATTTTCGAAGACTTTTTAAACAAACTTTTGATGTAAAAATCATAGCATTTGGGTACGAAAAAAATTCGGTATGATTTTACATTACGAAAAATTGTAGGTGAAAAATACGCAGGCAATATCGATGAGGTACTGTTACGATGTTGATATTCGGCTTATATTTAAGCCAGATCTAGGCCGGGATATTTTAATTTAGGCTAAAATGAGAAATTAATTATAATTTTAAAAGCAACTGTATTCTCCCTTCTGATGAGAGTGCGCCTTTTTGCAAGAGAGCTCCATATGTTAATCTGCGTAAGGTCATCGTATAATTTGGGGATTTTTAAGTTAACTGAGTCAGGCAGAAGAACCGAGGCTGATCCGCAGCCAATTCATTACGGTCCCAGCAGTGACAACATTCCCTCCGGCCATTAAGCCAAATCGAACAGACCTAGGACGCAGAAAAAGAGCTCCGGACATCCGACAAGGGGAATCGGGAATGAGCATCGGTAATGGCGTGAACTGAGAGGGACACAGAATTTAATGCAGCCGACGGAGGACAGCCTGGCAAATGGAAGTTGGCGGCTTAGCCCGCCAAAGGCCACAGAAGTGGCCGTAATGAGAGCTGGCACATCGATGACCGTGACCGGCAAAGGACTGGCACTGATGAGGGAACAACCAAAAATCATCAGCGGACATTCTTGGCCGAAGACAGCCGCTAAGCCGTCTGCATTGAGGCCTCGTAATTGGAAATGATGCTCAAGCCCCACTCGAGTGACGAGCGAAGCATTAATGGCCTCGACTGCAGCGCGTATTTTGTACACGCAGAATAAATAGGGGAAAAGTGAAGAACGTTTTTTATTTGGACTTCTTTTTGATTGAGATCGGTGTTCGGTTTTTCACGGTGTTGTGAGCTGTAAAAAACAATGATGGAGGGGGCATTCCCCAGTAGTGCCTCTAAATTAAATAAATGTGACTGCGCTTATCGGCGACCAAGTAACTCGATCAGAAAATGGAACTCTGCAATGGCAGTTGGCTGAAGGTCTCACTCCTGCGAGCATTTTCATGCCTTGCACTGCCATTTCATCTTTTTAATTGAATTTTAATTTGTTTAGAATGCGCTTAGAGTCGACAAGTGGCCAAGAGCTACTCGTTGGCCTCCTGCTGCTGATTCCGGCTTGGACTCCGTCTGGAGTGCGGACACGCCCTCACTTAATTTACCATGCAACCCGTCCGCACCCGGCACTTCAGTTTTCGTGCCTGCACTGGTTGGTGCTGCTGGCAGTTTTTAACAAATCGATTAAATTTAATTTGTTTTCCTTGCTGGCTTTCGTCCTCGCCTTTCTTCCCTTTTCGGGCAGCTTAGTTTCTAGCAGTAATTTCATAATGAGTTGACTTTATGCGGCCCAGTCGCAGCTGCGGAGAGACTTTTCGCCCATTGCTGTTGGCAAATAAAACTGTTCGCGCCGACATTAAACGACCATGAAGTGTGGAACTAACAACGAAGTAAACTTTCAGTCGGAAATATGTGAGAAAAAAGGAAAAGTACAAAATCATTTAATTAAGGTACAGTTTATTAAATTGAATTGCAAACGGCATTCCTTAAATGTTTCTTAACTTATAATTGCTTTAAATAAACATATTCTCTTTCGCAAATTGTGCTTTCTTTTTAGGCAAAAACTTCATAGCAAAATTTTTAAGCTTAAGAACTATCACAAATTCAGGCAAATTTTATTCAATAAGTCTACCGCTTCAGGCCGAAAAGAATGAGTCGCATATTGTTTTTGTCGTTTCGAGGGACTTATTCCGAGCTCCGTCCCATCGCTGCCGGGGATTTTCCGCTTCCTTTTTGTTGACTGCTTTTATTTGGCCCATGGACAAGTTTTTCCGTTTGCGAGCATACTTACCTACAATTAAAATCCCCCGCAGTTGAAACGTGAAATTAATTATAAACAAAAATAAAGCGGAGAACGAAGAATTTGTAATTTTTTGAAGAAATCGTATTTAATTATAATAATAATAATGATATTATTCCCTGTTTTGGGAGCGAAATTAATTAAAATTTTTCGTCGTTTGTTTTGTGTTGCTCTTTTACATTGCAATGTAATGGGCTGGGTCATAAAAATTACTGAAGAAACCATGCTCAGAATTTAAAGAGAAGCTGTTCTATTAAAATATAGGGTCCGGCCGAAAGTTTACGCAGCCATTGCCAAATCCTTTCTGCAGCCTACGTTTGGAGTATACAAAATGAAACTAAAAAGCTAAAACTTTTTTGTTCAAATATTAAAAAAAAAAAAATAGAAGCTGGTGGGGTACAAAATATTAAACCAAAATGAGCCCCCGGCGATTTGTGTTAAATTTGTGCTATGTCTACAGCAAACGTATTATTTTCATTCGAAAAAAGAAATTAATTTTCCCACATAGTCTTGCTCATTTGCAAATGTGAAATCGTCTGCCATGTGTGAGAAAATGTCAAGGAAAAAAAAAAGAGACAGAGGAAAATACAAACAGCGAATTTAAAAAGGAATTTTAAAACGTTTCGCTGGCTTGCAAACAGGGCGTATGCGCACTTGCTTTTGTCATTCCCTGCATGTGTGAAGACAGAATTTCCGTGCTCTTGAGATTTTTTTAGCAAGCAACTCGCGTATTCGATGGAAATCTTGCGATAAAATGCCAGGGAATTTCCCCTGTTCGCAATGAATACATTTGAATGGCCTTGTTCTTCCTGCCGCTGTTTCAGTTTTCTGCTGCTCATTTGCATGCGGCCTTGCGCAAAATGTTTTTTGTCATTACCGGCGAAAGTCAGCTAAGCAGGACACAAAAGGATGCCAGAGACAAAAGGGTGAGCTGCATCCGTATCCGCATCCGTATCCGCAAGAATGTCAACAAATTGAATGTAATTCCTTTTAATTTCGGTGCAGTCTTAAAGTCCTTGCAGGACTCCATCCCGTCTTCATTTCGGCCGTCTTATCTACGCCCCTCCTCTTTTGGCACATGGCACGCTGTCGTGAGGCAAATTGCCCGAATGAAGTTGCCCTGCAACTCGCGCATGCCGCGTGCCATGAAATTAAGTTGCAAGCTGCAGGATTTGCTTTCAAGTTTCGCAGCATTTTCAGTGCCACATTCGTCCAGTAGTACGACCCCACTCACACTTTCCTGGACGGGACACACGCTAAGGTCCTTGGCTCCATTTCGTGGATGCTAACACGCGTTTTTGTCGTTTCTCGTCGCTTCTTGGCTGCAGTCGGATAATGTCACGCTAATGCCACCAGCTTTGTCCTGCTTAATGTTGCGTCTGGTTATTGGATTTTGCTATATACTGGTGGGAGCCCTCTTTTTACTAGGTGTAACTCGAAACGGGGCTTTGCGGAGTTGATGAAGCTTTGATCGATAGTCCGACTGTGTCCGGGCAATGGCCTCACACTATTTTGAATGGGGACACATTTTAACTTTGCATATACATTTCAAAGTATGTTAGGTTTGTCTTTTAAATTTAAATTTAATATATAATAAATAAAGCCATGTGATATATTTCGGTTTAACTTATAGCTTCTTATAAGCTTATAGCTACTTATCACCTACACTTCCAAAGACAACAGAATACCCTTCGAAAGACAATAAAAATAATTTAATGGCATTTAAAAGTTCAACCTTCGTTTAAAGACTTTTTAATTTATTTTAGATATTTCGTGCCGCACTTGAACACTACTCGCAATCCTTTGAAAGTGTTCAGCGTATTATGCATCCCCACAATAATTTTCTTGTCAACCGCACAATTTGCATGAGTCCAGAACACACCGATATGATTAATGTGAATAAATTATGCACATGCAGGGGAAAATGAAATGCTATAAAAACGCCAGAAGCCCGCACAAAGCAAACACAAGTCCCTGCGAAGAAGTCGGTGCTAAAGTGGCCATATAAAATGATTAAGTTGCAAGTGAAAGTTATTTCTTGGTCTTTTATAATTTTAACAGCATTTTTACGCGTGCCGCAAATTGAAAGCATAAATACCAATTTCCTAGAGCTCGCAGCCTTCGAGGACTTTTTGCGTTCGGAACACTTGAGCCAGGTCCTGGTGGTTCGCGGCACTGATGCTGATGCTGATGCTGATGGCGGTGGCGGTGGCGACTGGCACACTGAATGCCACCAGAAATTGTTGGCCAACTATCGTGTGCAATTTTACCGGCCAGGAATGTCGGCGAATTTCGAGGATCTCAGCTTCCGCGAGTCTCCGCGCCTGGCGGTCCTGGTGCTGAGTTTCGAGCACATCCTTGTGAGGCGTCGTGTGCTCGAGGTGGCCTCCGAGGCCGGGTACTTTAACAACTCGCTGGCATGGTTTATTCTCGGCTCTGGATGTGAATCCCTGGCTGACGAGCAGCTGATTGAGCAGCTCTTGAGTGGCTACAGCATGGGCATTGATGCCGATATCACAGTAGCCTTGAGGCGACCAGATAAGTGAGGCAGTACATTATCATATTTATTAGACAAGACGTCAACTAGTAGATTTAGCAATTTGTATACCCGTTACTTATGGAGTAAAAGGGTAAATTGTATTTGATGATATATAAATTCTTGATCAGGATTAACAGCCATGTCCATCGGTCTGTCTGATTTCGAATTTAATTTAGTTATAATTACGCAACTTTATTTCAAAATGCCCAAAAATCTTGAAGGACAAACATGTTTCTCTGAGACATGCTATCATGTCCGTTTATAAGCCTCTGTTCTTGTGTTAGAAGTTATTATTATTTTGCAACTCTATTGTTATAACTTTTGAAATGGTCTTTATATTTTTGAAACTAATAGAGTATACTCAATGCTAAAGCATTTATACAATTTGATAAATAGGAACTTGTAAAATAGAAGTATATATTAAATGCTTAGCTTATAACTGAAAGGGTATTTGATCCTCGGTGGACCGAAGTAACCTTACTCCCTTGCTATGTTCATAAAGTTATCCTTCTCAATTGTATGTTTTTTGGAGCTGTAAACGAAGCATTAAAACGAATAGTTTCAGCACATCCTGGAATCTCTATGATGTATACCGAATCAATCAGCAAGTTCCAACACCTCTGATAATTGAAAAAAAAGGAAAGTGGTCTGCCTCTGGAGGATACCAAGTCATGGAGAACTTTAAAAACACCTTGGTAATTCGGCGGCGCAACTTCCGCAATATCACTCTGTTGGGCAGTACAGTGGTACGTGTGAATATGACCTTGTCCAATCACCTCTCGACTTTCACTTACCATCCTTTGCCCAGTTGACAGATAAGCCTCCTGGATTCGATAGCATGGAGTACCTGGCGGACGATAAGCAGCTCCTGCAACTGGATGCCATGCAACGGAAGACCTATCAGTTGTTTCAACTCGTTGAGCGCATGTTCAATCTCAGGTGGGTCTGTGAAATTCTGAACGAAGCAGGTGCTAGTTAACGAGGTTTCACGCTCAGAAAAATAGTTACTTACTCAATAAATGTCCTAATCTGTGTTTACACAATTGACAATTGATAAAGAATAGAATTTTATCCAAGTAGATATAACTAATCTACATTTAAAATTGAATAATGGTGACTCAAGGAAGTTGTGTTTTCCCAATTAAGGTTTAATTAATTTTAATTATTAATATATGAAATTTTGTTGTAGCCAATACATCGCCTTGAAATTAGTAATATCAATAACATTCTTACCATTTATGGTAAGCCTTTTAATAATGGAATTACGTGTTTTCTTTCGGTGCAGGCTGGACATCGTTTTTACGGATAAGTGGGGCGAGTTGCTGGAGAATGGCAGCTGGTCGGGAGTGATGGGTCAAGTGACGAGTCGCGCGGCGGACCTTGCCGTGTGCCCCATTCGCTTTCTGCTGGACAGACATCCCTACGTCCAGTACTCGCCGGCCCTGCACATCGCCTAGTAAGTAGACCTCAGTGAACTTGACTTGCATCGAGTCCCAGTACAGTGTTTCCTCCGCAGCATTCACTTTATCTTTCGGCATCCACGTCACAGCCACATCAGTAACATATTCTTCGAGCCACTGAGCAACCAGGTGTGGTGGTGTGTCCTGGTTCTGGTCACTGGCAGCACCCTACTGCTTCTGATGCATGTGAGGCAGGAACGGGTGCTGTCCCATGTCGAGAGTCGTTTGTCCTTCGTTTGGTTCACCATACTGGAAGCCTATCTGCAGCAGGGCCCTGCCCCCGAAACCTTCCGGCTGTTCTCCACTCGACTGCTGATCAGCCTTAGTGGCATATTCAGTTTTATTCTGATGCAGTTCTACGGCGCATTTATAGTGGGCTCCCTGCTCACCCAGAGTTTGAGGAGTATTGTGAGCCTGCAGGCACTGTATGATAGCAACCTGGCGATCGGGATGGAAAACATACCATACAACTATCACATCTTCAACTCCAGTATCCCGCTGGTGAGGGAAGTGTATGCGAAGAAAATCTGCAGAGCTGGCGAGCACAATATCCTGACCTTGCAGCAGGGAGCCGAAAGGATCATCCAAGGACGCTTCGCGTTCCACGCGGATCTCGAAAGAATGTACAGGTTGCTCTTGGACCTTCGGATGGATGAGGTCGAGTTCTGTGAGCTCCAGGAGATACAGTTCGACTCGCGGTACGACGCGGCATCCATAATGCCCAGGGGCTCTCCGTGGAGAGAGCACCTGGCCCACGCCCTGCTCCACCTTCGAGCCAGTGGCCTGAAGCAGTACAACGACAGGAAGTGGATGGTCACTCGGCCCGACTGCAGCCTGGTGAGGGCCTCGCAGACAGAAGTGGACCTGGAGCACTTTGCTCCGGCGCTCTTTGCCCTGGCACTCGCCATGATGGCCAGTGCAGTGGTCTTTCTGCTGGAACTCTTTATGCACTGGCTACCGGACTTTCGCTGGAGGCTGGGGGCCATGTCCACTTAAGTAATCATCCTGCCCCCTTTCGGCTTCAGCTGGCCGGCACGACTTTCGGCTACAAATTTGTGTCGCTTTTAATGTTTTCTGCATTTTTAATAATAGTAAAAAATTTGTAATAATGTCAGCTATTCCCAGTGCTGAAGCTCCAACGCGGGCAGAAATTAAAAATTCCATTAAACTGCAAACACTTGCCTGGGCTGCGCCCTCCACCATTCCGCTCGTTTTGGCCAGTTTCTTGTTTGGGCTCGGACTGGCCTTCTGCATCGGGTTCATTTCGACTTAATTATGAAGCTGGCTAGAGGCGGTGACACTTGTTTTCTATTAACTGACAAGCTTTTAAGGGGCGGGTCAGGCTGTTAGCGAGCGCGGGGTTCCCAAGTCGCATCATAGGACTTAGGGAGGGTTAGGGAGATATTTCCATTAAATTATTAAAAATTGTGCCTTAAAATCGCTGGCCTTACACTTGACTCTAATAAAACGCAATTGAATGCATCTCGCAACCCCTTTGGATACGCTAGTTGGGATGTTTGAGTTGCGACTTACAAGTATTTTTTCCGATTCATAACTTCTTATAAAATGGCTAGCAAATTGCCACAGTAAGCCGCACCCTAATTGTGTAATCACATTTGATGCAATTGGATGCGTGATCAGTATCCTGCACTAAGCTTTGTGTCGGTGGCCACGCATGTCCTGGCATCCGACTGAGGTCACGCAGGACCTTCAATTAAGTTGTCATAATGTCTGACTGCGAAAAAAGGGCGGTGCGGTGAAACTCGACCGGGTCGATATAATCACATTTATATGACAGTTTAGAACGAGATTGTGCAATGGGTCGGCACTACTAAGCGTCCGCGCGAGTGCAGTGAAGTTGATAATCCAACCTGCTTTAATCTGTTATTTATAAGAAGTGTCAACTTTGAAAGCTGCTTTAAGCAGAGCTAATTACCACAATTAAATTCGAGTTGAAACGTATCCTAGTTTCATGTTCTGTTCAGATTAACTAAAATAATAGTTGTTCTTTGAAATTCATCCCATCTTTTGTTGTTTCCCGGATTTATTGTTGAATTTTAAAACCCCAAACTACCCGATTAACAACTTTTCGAATGGGCTGTTATTAAAGATCGACAGCTGAAATGCAATGAATAATTTTTAAATGTACCAGAAACATCATCTAAAAAATAAACTTAAATCTTAAGTTCTTACTTAAGCGTTTTAATAGGCTATTTCTAGCCTGACTGTTTGACTGCTTATATTAAAACGCAGATTAATATATTTTTATTGTGTTTTGAAGAACCGATATAAAATGACTTTCTTTATTTCTTTACTTAATACAGGTGGCCAAATTTAGTTAGTTTTATTATTATATTTTCTGTTAAAGAATTTATCAAAGATACTTGTTGAACGATTTCGTAACTGTTGTGTTCCGATTTAAATAATGACACGATCGGGATGAGATCAAATGTTGAACTAACTTTATTCTGCGCAATGAACATCATTTATATACTTGCTTTGAGTGTGTTAGCATTGGCGTGCACATGAATACAAATATGATGCAATAATATAATATATTATAATATAACATTGGTTGCATAGGAAGTGATTTTTGAGAAGAACTTTAAAGGTAAGGATGATGCAATATTCTAAGAAGTCAGTAAATATTTATAAGTTGTATCGTCGTTTATTGTTAATTGTTACATACATCGTTTGTGTTCAGGAAATAGCTTTATGTTACTCAAATTAAACTAAATTTTAAGCATAGAGTAATTTCTTTACTACATAAAAATATATATATTTTAAATTTTAATCAGAGGAAGGTGCATTATATCTTTGGCTGTCTTGCCTAGGACATCATTGCTTTTAAGGAGACGCACACATTCACGTCAAATTATGCAAATTTACAACATGATTAAGCTCGTTTAGCTGGACTCTCGTCCAACATCTATATATATAGTAGTATACACCAATGTCGTCAACGGTCGGCCTGCTCTCGTGTTTGTTTTGCAATTCAAATGAATTTGCTGAGGCTGGACTTCGTACAGGGCCTAAAAGTGGAGATAAAGCTGCGAATGACACAGCGGCAGTGCTGGCAAGTTTTCTATTGTTGAATGAGGTGAAGTGGATTTAATTAATATTGTAGAAGAAGTTTTTTTTTAATTAATTGAAACCATAAACTATCTCTTGTTGTACTAAGAAATTTTACTAAACAAACAAAATAACGTTAAAACATGAAATACAGTTTTAAGACAACCAAGTCATTATTGCAAATGTTTATATTTTATGTTTACACAAGTGTGTGGGATAAATAGTTAGTATATAAACATTTTTGGAATTTATGAATTCAAATATATAACAGATATATTTCAATAGGTTTTTGGCAGCACTCCTTGGGGACAATTTCGGCATGTTTGTTTCAACGTTTAGTTGTGAGTTGTCTGGGTGGGCAAAGGCCTCCCCTTTCCTCCACATATAAATTCGTACAAATTGTTCAATGGCCGTTCGCTCTGTTCCTTTGGCCAAAGTATCAATTGTTTGGCATTGGTCTTTATTTATGCATTGTTGTTGGCATAGTTGTCGGCATTGTTGGTCTGGCCTATCCGATGTCTGCATGGTGGTCTGTGTGTTTTATTGCTTATGGTTATGGTGGGGATATGGCGACCGTGCTCTGAATGAATTTATATTGTTTTTGAAGTGCTTAAATGTTTGTCCGTGTTTGCCACTGGGCGCTAGCACACTGGGCGTATGCGTAATGCGAAATTATGCAGGCTTAATGTTATGGCAAGTGCCCTAAAATGGAAATTTCGTCGCCTCAGCGACGAGAGATTGAAGTTTATGCAAATAGGGCTTTAATCAAGATTCGACTTGAGTGCTAATTAAATAAGACAAAGTCAACTTTAATTTGCAGCTAATAGACTCGAAGAAATTATTTAAATGTAAGTTTCGCTTGAAAAGCTTTGCAACTTTTGGGGCTTCCGATACTTGGTTGTTTACCCAAGAGCCCTCTCTTGTTTAATTTTTTTTCTGTTTATGCTTGCTCGGTTCAATCTTGGCCCTGGCTATAAGCCGTAACCAAAAGCTGACTAAAGAGCCGCAACAACTTGTGCAAATCAATATTAATTGCTCAGATTCACTCAACCATGAACTCATTTAAAAAACCAAAGCTGCAGAGTAGCTGGAAAAGCGTGCAGAATGAAAACAACAAACTGTTATATTTTCACTATTTATGCTGGGGGTTTCCACCGCTCCTCTGGCGATTTTCCTCTTTCCACTCCTTGACCGATTGTCGAGTGGAGAAAAACTTTAGCAACTTTTGCGCTGCATTTGCGAGGCATCCTTTCGTCCTTTCCGAGCTCCCTGCAGTCGGGCTAATACCTCTGCGCCCGCCCTGGCGTCATGTGCTTATTATAAAATAATTAAGTCCTTTAGGAAATTATAGTTCTTGTTGCCGTGGTCCCGCTTTCTGTTGTCGTATTTTCTCGACTCTTGCAATCTGTGCCTGGTTTCTTTTCGTTCTCCGTACTTTCCTGGGCTCTATGGTTTCTGAACTGTTGCCTTGATCTTTTTTTTTTTTGCTTATGTGTATTTTGAGTAAATTGAGAAAAATGCAAGAAAAAATTATTCATGCTTTCCTTAACGAAATAAGTAAAAAAGAAATTGTGATATTAAAAAAAATTGATTTCATTGATTGAATCGATGAATTCAATCAAAAATGCATGTGGCAATAATCATTTCAAAGTTACTATCTTAAGCTTAATTACTGGTTATTAACTACGCTTGAGTTTTCATATATTAAGTTTTTTAATTTTAAACACAAGGTCTAAGAATAATTTATAATATCTTCATAGTCTTGCGGCAAGTAAAATAAAAGACAAGTATTATTACTGCTCTTAAAAAGGGTTTCAGAAACTTGTCCCTATCCAGTTAACAAAAAAAAAACAAGTTTGTATCCTTCGCCTTGGCTGATTACTTTCAATAATGTCTGCGATGAATAACCTGGGATGGTTACCAAAAGGTTGAAAATTCTACATAAATTGTTTCCAAGTCCTGACATCCCCCCAACGTTCCATCATTTCCAGCCTACGGGAAAAATTAGACTCGTTTTGACTCATTTCTCTTGTGGGCTGCCACTGGCATATGAGTTATTTATTGTGTATCTAATTAATTATTGCTGCCGACGTATTTTTCCACACCAAAACAAATGTGGTCAGAACGACTGTTTATATCTGTTTCTGTATCTGTATCTGAATCTGTCTAGCTGTCTATGTGGGCGTCTGGGTCGGCATCGTTAACATTGACTTAATTGCCAAACCACAGAATGGCTCTTTTAGGAGCTGGGGCCTGGAAAAGCCAGCAGTCATATCTTGAACCCACATGCAGGTCGGACATCATGATCTATGTGCGGGACACGACACTTTGCATTGAGTTTATGTATCGTCTGGCTCCTCCTCTTTAAAAATGCAATGGCCTGCCCGTCCGGCGTGGGGCCATGGCCATCCATTTTAACATGCCACGGAGTATGACAAGTGTCGGTCAACTATAAACAGGAAGGAGCGTCGCACCACTAGCACCCTCGACGAACACATGGACAGTGGCAGTGGCAGGATTCAATGGCCCTTCGGCATGGCATAAAAGCCGCTCGAGTGCGATGTTCCCGCGGAGTCTGTCGATGGCCAGGCTCACGGCTCCCACTTGGTGCTGTGCGGGGTTAACGTATAGATAAGCCCGGGCCTTACTGAAAAAACAATTAGTGTCGTCAATGGAGTTGTTCAGAAGAGACCCACATAGGAACAAAATTGATTAAGGAATTTTTATATCCGGTTATTCTTTATTCGGAACTTTTAAAAAACGAACTTCAAAATCGCTTACCCTTAAAGTTTAATGTTCTTAAAACATAAATCCCAAAATGTCTAACTCTTTAAATTATTCATTTAAGAAAGCAGTTATTGGATCAAAAAATTTTCTTGGTCCCTATGCTGACTTGATAACTGGCGGTATTACAATCGAAAATC